AATCTTGGAAACGTTCAGGGTGTCCTTTAATTTTTGCTTATGTTTTAGATCAATCAGACTGTGATGGAAGCTGCTCTCAGTCCTGACATGCTGGCTACTGATCTGGCCTACTACCTTGTGAGGAAGGGGGTGAGTAGATCATATATCCTTAACATCTACATAATATAATATTTTAACTATTATATTATGTTACAGATATTCACAATACAAAATTAATCTATTATTTTTAAAAGAAAATTTAGAACAAGATAACAAATTACTGAGTATCAGTTTTGTAGTTTAGTTGTGTACAATATTTGAGGAAGTAATTACAAAGAAATGATTTCAAATAATGTCTACAGTTTGTACAGGAATTCAAACACTCTTCAGAGCCTTTATTAGGATACAAGTTTATTAGTCCTAGTAACTAGTCCTAGGTAAACTAGTGTCTCTGGGTAGTGGTTTATCTAACAAGTGAAAGCTACCCTGTTTGATCCTGGAAGGAGACATAAATCTGTCAGCAAGGGTATCCAGTATTAAATCTGCCAAATCAAATAGTCTGTTTTGTTATTCTTTTTTTTTTTTATATGAGTTTATTTGCATTTATTTTTCACTGCAAAATACTTTCCTGCATTTCTGCATGTTGTGTGTTACAGTATAGCTGTGCGTTTTTGTGTGTTGCAGGTCCCATTCAGAGAGGCCCATGGTCTCTCTGGCAAAGCTGTGTTTACAGCTGAATCCAAAAACATTGCCCTGAATCAGCTCACTGTGGAAGATCTCACTGCTATAAGGTGGCTGTCTTCTTCTCACACACACAGACTTTTAAACTAAAAGCCTAAAACCTTCCAAATGAATCATTTTCTCTTCCTTTGATTTCTATCATGTTTTTCATACCATAACTTTAAACTCCTCTTTCTTTTCTTTGTCTGCTTTGTACCTTCAGCCCTCTGTTTGGAAATGACGTGTCGTCAGTGTGGGACTACAGGAGCAGTGTGGAGCAGTACAGCGCCCCTGGAGGCACAGCTAAGAGTAGCGTCGCTGCACAGGTGGAGCATCTGAGGAACTGGCTGAAGAAACACGCACAGTGACCTCTCTGTGTCACTCGGTGTAACCTTTAGAATCAGATTTGCAGAGCGAGGTTGAAGTGAAATCTTTATACTTTGAGAACCACATTGCCTCCCAAACATTTAATTCTTCTCTCTTTAATATGGAGTGCCTTTTCCATCCTGTGCAAACATGTGATGTTTGTCATTGATTGTGTACAAACTGGAAACTGACCAGTTTTAAATACCTGAAAAGAAAATAAATAGTGCCATGACAGGTTGATTAAGTCTGATTTCCACCACAAAAACATCTGATGTGATTTACTTTACTGTCTAGCCATGCTAAAGAGACACACAGCCTATTTTACTGCACAGACAAGAACGTGTATTTATTTATGTCACATAAGTGGATCCAACATTACTTTATGGCAGGTTTATGCAGGATTCACACCTGTGCTGACAATTGAGAGAAACTCTGAGGTGCCTGTTTATTTAAATGCTCCAGTGTGGCCGTTAACCAGTGAAGTCATGTAATGCAAGCATGGTTTCCTGTTGTATAGGAACAAAGTTACTAACAGTCAGCTATGATAAACACAACTGACCGGGGCAGAATGAACTGCAAGGCAGATTTATTTCCATGGTGCTTAAAACAGTTTCATTCATTTTAAACTGATCTAATTGAATCTGTAGAAATCCAAATTGGTGAATACTCAATATAAAATCAGTCTCACTCACAGTAAGGGTTCAGATAAATCCACTGACGTCAGCTGTTAGTTTACTGATTGTGAAGTTTTGGCTTTGGATTTTGCACATCATAAGAAGTCAAGAACAAGTTATTACTCTGGCAGAGGATCAATATTAATGTATACTTCATTGATCCCCC